TTATTAGTTTTATCGTATTTGTTAGGTATTTCTAAAATGAAAAATATATGAGTTTCCTTTTAATATATGTGAATGTTACTTTTTTCAACTTTAAATAAAATAATTAAAAAGATATTTAAAAAAAGAAATCAAATTACTTAATAAAATATGAATGAAAATAAAGTGATTTTTCTAAAAATAAATTAAATGAGGTGCGCGAATTAAAAAAAAAATCTTACCATAATACAAGAAAATAATATATTACGAAATCTACTTTATTATTTATGTTTATTTCGTTGACAGGTGTTCTTAAAACTAGTATTTTACTCATTTGACATTTTTAATTGTATATATGGAAATTATTTTATTTTTTGAATTTTTTTTATTGTATTTTTTTTATTGTTATCTTAATTGTATCCTTTTTTAACTTCTAATTAAAGAACTTTATGTCTTAAAAGAAAAGGTTAGAGAAATTAGAAGTAGAAAATCAGCTGAGACTGTTACAAAAAACGTGAGTATCATCTAGGTCTAGATAGGAGGAAAGAAAGAAACCATATTTTAGGTGTATGTTCCATGGTATCAAGGTTTCATTTCCTTTAATAATTTTTTAACAATAAATTATATATTACTATTTTATTAAGTTTTGTATATTTAAAATGAATTAAAAAATTGTTAAAAAAAATATTTTTCTAACATCAATACTATCCATTTTTAGTTCAATATTTTTAATGTGAGACCGTGTTTGAGTAGAAAATGTTTCACAAATAAAAAAGAGAAATTATGATATTTTAACAATTTTGTGTTATTATTTTATTGGTATGTATATTTGAAATGGACTAATTACACGTTATCATTATTAAAAAGTTGTTAAAGAAAAAAGCTGTTAAAAGAAATATTTTCCAAAAGATTAAAGATTATCCTTATAGCATAGGAAGTGAAGTTCAGCGGCAGAATACACTGCAACCACAAAGAAAGGTTGACAAATCTCAGGCCTAAGGGAGAATGAAGGATGTATGCTATAACATGGACAAAAGTTGTTAATTTAGATAATCTTATTATTCGAAGTTGTGAAATACTTAGTAAAAGCATATTGTATTGTTTGATTATGAAGCAACGTACTTTTTCTTTTGTACATATTTATTTTATTTCACATGTGTATGTAATTTTTTTTATTTTATTATTTTTTTTTGTTTTTAAACTATTTTTTTATACTTTTTTTTTTCATTTTTAATTTTTTAGAATTTAAAATTAATTGGTCATTTAATAAATGATTACTCATTTTATTTTGTTGATAAGTCTCTTAAAAATTACTTTTTTTAATCATTTGACATTTTAATTTTTTTTATTTACATTTATTTTTTCGTCACATATGCATGAAATTATTTTATTTATTTATTTATTTATTTTATTTTTAAACTAATCTTCCTATATTCTTTTTAATTTTATCCTTTTTATAATTTCTAATTAATTAGTCTTGTAATAAAATTATTAAAGAATACTTTAGATAAAATATTAATTATTTTATACTGTTCTTTTAATTTTGAAGTTTATCTATTCTTGACTTATAATTACTTGGTTGTAAATAAAATTAAATATTGAAAAACTATATATATATATATATATATATATATATATATATATATTAATACAAATGGTTCACACTATCACAAAAAAAAATTATTTCTCTAGCAATTTACTTTATTCTTTCATCTATTTGATTTATTTGTAAACTCTAATGTTTAGTATCTAATAAATCATTATTTTAATTCTTAAATAGAAGTTTTGTCTTCTCTAATTTAAAATTTTCAAATGTCAATTAGACTTTATTATTTAATTAAATTATTATATAAATATTTTTATTATTAAAATATTCTTCATATTTTTATTTTGTGAAAATTAAATTAATATTATTTAATAAATATTTAACATGAATCATATATCAATAGAACTTCACAAGGATTTAAATCATTCTATTTATTACAAAAATAAATTAAAAGAATGTACTTATAAGACCAAAATAAAATATTAAAACTAAAAAATTAATTATTTTAAAACATATTACGAACGAGTTTAATATATATATATATATATATATTGATTAAACGTGTCTAGTAAAATATTACAAGTAACTTATATTTAGAGTAACTTATATTTAAAATAACATGTATAACAAACAAATATTAGATAAAAAAAACTTATAGTATTATTATTTTTTTATACTATTTTTTCATATTTGATTATATTTGTAATTTATAATTACTTGGTCATTTAAAAATATAAAATTAAAAAAAAATATTTTACTTTTATTTTTTAAAATAATATTATTTAAAAAATAATATATTTACTAATAATACAATTTTTTTACAATGTAAAATAAATTGTTACGTAATAATTTTATCTTAAAAAATTATATTTGCGTTTTTTATATTAATTTATAACATAAATATTATTATAGTTGAATATATTTTATATTTTTAGTACGTAAAAGTTAAATTGATATTATTAAAAAAACTAACATTAATTATATATACGTATATAAATTGGCATACAAATTTACATAATTATATTTTTAATAATAAATTTAAAATATTATACTTTATAGTTTGTTTCAATGCTTAAATTAGATATTTATAATAAAATAATCATACATTTTAATATTATAATTTTTTTATTAATTATTTAGTTTTTTTTTTAACTTGAAAGTGTAGAGTTTAAAACAAAAAGTGAAACTAACAAACTAATTATTTTAAAATATATTATTGATGTATTTATATTCTCATTATTTGAGTATATAATATATATATATATATATATATATATATATATTTATTGATTACACGAGGTCTAGTAACATATTAATCAATGTAGCAAAAAAAAAACATTATGAGTCTAATAATATACACATTAAGAAGATTGTGTATACATTAATTATATGCATATAACAAAAATCATAATCGAATATAACAATATATAATAAATAAGTTTGTTTATACATTAATTAAATGGGTATAATAAAAGAACATTAGATGAAATCTTTCATAAATTGATTAAATGAGTCTAAACATATAATGATAAGACGAATATAACAAAATATATTGAATGAGAACTAATTAAATAACATTATACATCAATTTTTTTATATAATCACTATACAAGTATAACAAAAAACAATAGATGTATCATTCCACATATTAATTAGAAGACTCTAGAAATATTTATAAGTTTGCCCATACACTAATAAAAAAAAGTTTAGCAACAAACACTAGACGAGTCTCTCTATACAATGATAAGATAAGTCAGTCAATGTATGTTGCACAAGTTTGTCTGTCCATATATAAATTATATGAGCCTATTAATACATATTAGATCAGTTTGTTCATTAACTGATAAATAAGTATTGCAATACACATTAAACGATTCTACACATACATTGATTGAACAACTATGTTCATACACTGATAAAAGGACTTTAAGAAACAACACTAGACAGACATGTTTATACGCTGATTAGATAAGATTGTCTATATGCAAATAAGGTGGTTTTATTAATACACATTGAACGATTAGACGAGTCTTACGATATACATTACACGAATATAGATATACATTGATTAGACGAATATAGCAATACACGTTATACAAACGTGTTTGTATATTGATTAAAAAAAAATCTAACAATACATATTAGACGAATATGCTGATATATTAATTAGACAAGTATATCAATACACATCATACGAGTGTTTCCATATATATTTAATCTGAAAAGAAATCATGGTATATCTACCTCAGGGAATTGAAGGCAAATACACATACACAAACAAAACATGGCTAAGGGTGTGGTCCATGAATGATGAAGCATGGGTTACCAAACAGTGAATAATTAAACCCTTGGGCATGAGGTGTAAGAGAAGTTGGCAAGTTCTTGTGCTCATTCATTCACTCATCTTCAATAATCCACAAAGGTACAGAGTACATAGGCAATGATACAAGCAAAGAAACACTAAACTGGAATTGCACACATTTGGACTGCTTGGACACATTTACTAATTTGTTTTTAATTTTGGCAAAACGTGGGAGAGAGATTGAGCCCCACATCGAATGTCACCCGCATTCCGCCAAGTAGTGAATGGTTTCCTTTTTCTCTAGCGGTGTAGTATCTGTCAATCGGTGCTATGGGCCACTGGGCCCGGGGTCCACCGTTTCTCCAGCCCATCACGCGTTGTTGCTGTCCTTTCAAGGGTAACATAATAAAACTACATCATCCTCTTTTCCAGCAATCTCAATAAATGACACCAAATCCCAAAAATAAAATTTGCTTTTAGTATTTTTCAACCATATGATATCCTTTAATAGAATACTTTTGTTCTTAGTTAAATAAAAAAATATTTATTTAATTATTAATTAAAATAAATAATAAAATGATTTCTTTTATTTTAAGATAATTAAATAAATGTTTGAATAACGGTTAGATAATTACTTTAACATTAATTTCATAGAATTATATCTATATATATTATTTTAAATATACTCATGAAAACATTCTATAACTACATATAAAAAATATATTTTTTAATTATTATTAAAAGGTAATTACAACAAAGATTGCAAAATCTAAAAATTAAAACAATTAATAAATAATTTATATTATTAAGGTTAAATTTAACTCAAAAAATAATTTTGAACAATTATTTTTATTGATAGTTACAGAATATAACTTTATATTTTTTATTAATTATTGAAAAATAAAAATTATATGTGTTTTGATATGATAAAAATATAAACATACATTTATTGAAAATTTCTCTAGTTAATAATAATAATATATTATTTTGAAACTTCTCTTAGACACTAACACATCTCCACTTTCAAAAGCACCCGATTTATTAACATTTGATTAAGTTTTACAATATTTTTTATATGGTTAAGAGATTATAATAGTTATAAAATTAACTATTTTATTACTGGGTATAATGTAAAATTTGAGAAGAAAACAGAAATTGATTGAAATCAGTGAATGTTATGGATGGCTTACTTGAATGGAGTTTCCTTTATAACTTGGAGCATGACAGAGCAAAACCCAAATGGCTGAGACAAAGCTCGATCTGATCTCATGTTTATGTTCTGACTATGTTTGATTCCGGTGTCTGAGGAGAGAGTGTGGTGTTATTGATAAGAGTGTGAGAAGTGGAAGTAACAGAAAAGATGAACAACAGTGGTGGAGGGACTTTGATGGGATTGAGCAATGGTTACTATGGGAGGTCGCCATTCACAGTGTCTCAGTGGGAGGAACTGGAGCACCAAGCTTTGATCTTCAAGTACATGCTTGCGGGTCTTCCTGTGCCTCAGAATCTGGTGCTCCCCATTCAGAAGAGCTTCAATTCTATACCACATGCCTTCTTTCACCATCCCACATGTCAGTTTTCCAATCCTGTTTCTTTTCTGTACGATGAGCTCTTTTCAGCAATGGTTACAGTTTTTCCTGTTTTAAACAACTCAAATTTTAAGATTAGGGTGTTTTTGTTTTTGAGTTTTTCTATGTTTTATTATCATAATGGTGGTGTCATGTATGTGAAGGCAACATCAATGTCTTTCTTTCAACCCTAAATGCTTCACATTGCTATATTTACCCTTTGTTCCTGAATGGCTTGGTGAGCTTATTAGGATACTCTCTTTACACTTTTGGAGGGTTTTATTTTGATTTTTGCAATTAAACTCACTAACCAGTGAATTCATAGTCAATTTAGGGATTTTTTAACTTTATGGATGAGATTCTTGAGACAGATTTGTGATTGCTTATGTTATACTATGATATTGGGTATTCAGTTCTGGAGATTTTGAACCTATTAGCTATGTAAAATGTGTGCCAAAACTTCCATTTTTGTCTTTTTTGTTGGGTGTGTTTGGAATGTTGGTAATGAAAAGCTGTGCATGACAAACTTTGCAGTGAGTTACTGTTCCTTCTATGGGAAAAAGGTGGACCCAGAGCCAGGGAGATGTAGGAGGACTGATGGAAAAAAGTGGAGGTGCTCCAAGGAAGCATACCCAGACTCCAAGTACTGTGAGCGCCACATGCACCGTGGCCGCAACCGTTCAAGAAAGCCTGTGGAATCACAAACTATGACTCAATCCTCTTCGACTGTCACAACACTTGATGTCACTGGTGGCAGTGGCAGCAGTAGAACTGTAAACTTCCAAAATCTTCCTGCAAATGCTGTTGGTAATCTCCAGGGTACTGATTCTGGAACTGACCATACCAGTTATCATCTAGATTCCATTCCTTATGCCATCCCAAGTAAAGAATACAGGTATAGAAATCCTTATCATATTTTGCATCTGTTGTTTGCATGGAGTTTGAACTTATTTATGCTACAAAGAACACAATAGCAAATATATCTTTAGTTAAGGTCGTATTGCTTGGTATATTCTATGGAACTGCCTTCACTTCTTCACTTTCTTGAATTTAAATATTTTAGTCTGAATTTGTGGCAGTTTTCTTTGATTAATTTGAGGATAAAATTCTGTATATGGGTGGTGACATATTTATATGGTGGATTTCTAACATTGTCACAGAGATCTGCAGGCATTATGACTAGTTGTTAGAATGTTATACTTCAGAAGTGTCTATTTCTTTCTGTCTGTTGTCAAAATAAAGTCCAGAGCTGTTGGCTGCCTTGCTTTGCTTCAGCTTCTGTATTTTTTTTCAAATATTGATGGGGGAATTGTAGTTTTCATTAATCTGAACTCATACTTTGTTTATTTTCGTTTGTTGTTTTATGTTACCTTTTCTAGTGTTGGATGATGCTCAGACATGTGGAATAGGTACTAGATTTTGGAGACCTTCATGAATCAAGATTGTCTTCAAACTGCGTCTTGTTGGGAACTTTGACAAAAAATGGTCCTCTAGTTGTCTCTTTCTAGTTTTTCATTTTCTTGCACTGATTTATTTCTGACATGCAAAGTGCAAAGTGAAACTGCTTTTAAATAAAATGTTGAGAAACATTTTAGCATGTCTACTGTATCTGTTCGTGTGGGGATGACGAGAAAGGTGTACACGGCATGGGCAGAATAATTACTCCTAATTTTGTTTGGGTAGAAAGGATACACAGTTTTCAATGCTGAACTACACGACTGTATCGTCCTTTCTCTTCATGCCCTATTGAACATAGCTGTGTATTTTGTTCTGTTCCTCGTAGCCATATTGCTTTGTTCTTTCTTAAATTGTAAATTACAGATTATAAGACAAAAGTATTACTGTTCCTCTTAATATTTATGTGAGATTACAATTAAATATCAAATTGATAAAAATTTGCTGATTGTGGCAACCTGGGAATTTGTTCTAAGCTTTAACTTTAGCAGTTTAGCCAAATCTGGTTAGAAAGGGACTGCAGTCACTCACTCAATGAATTCAAAGATTTTATTGTACCCTGTGCAGTTTTAACTACTGGTATTTTTTCAACACCTTTGTTTTCTTATGTTTCAACTAATCCAGCTTAATTAGGATTTTAATTTAGTACTTTCATCATCTAATGGTGTTGTTTTTCTTTAATTCATTGTTCCTTCCACCATATTATTTGAATGTTGCAATGTCAGTTCATTCAAACCAGTGAGTCCTCAAAGCTTTAATTTCATCGATTACTAGAACAATTGTAACCAACCTTGTCCAGGATACGACTCTTTGCATCATTCTTCAATTTGTCCTTGTTTCTAATGTCATGTAATCACCATCGTGATTATTTGTTAGTAAGCACCTTGTTCTACAGTGATGACAAGTTTCTGCATAATTTAACATGACTATTAAACGTTTTAGCAGTGTCAATTATATAATTGCTTATCTCTTGAACTGTGTGCAATTTTTCTTGAACCAAACAGGTATCTTCAAGGACTTAAATCTGAGGGTGGTGAACATATCTTCTTTTCTGAAGCTTCAGGAAGCAGCAAAGTTCTCCAAATGGAGTCACAACAGCTGGAAGACACATGGTCTTTGATGTCTAACAAAGTTGCCTCTTTTTCTACGTCAAAATCAAGTAATGATTCCCTGTTGCATAGTGATTATCCTCAAAACTCGTTTTTATCTGGTGAATATGCATCAGAAGAGCACCTGAAGGAGGAGGGTCAGTCTCTTCGACCCTTTTTCAATGAATGGCCAAAAGGCAGGGATTCATGGTCTGGTCTGGAAGATGAGAGATCTAACCAAGCAGCTTTCTCCACAACTCAACTTTCAATATCCATTCCCATGTCTTCTGATATCTCTGCAACGAGCTCTCAGTCCCCACACGGTGAGAATGAGATTCAATTTCGGTAAAAATTTAGCTTCTAAACATGGATTAACTGTTCTTGTAATTATACTGTTGCAGATAATTAAAAGCAGTCTTTGAAATGTTAATCAAAGGATCTAATAAGTCTGTCTTATTTGATGGGTGGATACTTGTTGAACCTTGGAATGTTATTGGCTTTGTATCTTATGAATGAACTACCTTGAATACCTCGTACTGAATGTTTTGTGCTGAATAAAGTTCTTGGTTTGAAATGTTTTTTTTTTTTTTTTTTTTGTGTTTTTCATTTTGTTTTTGGCACTTGTTCGATTTCATTTCCAATGTCAACATTTATACAATAACAAAATCCAATATGCAGCATTGCAACCAAACTTCAATGATATAATTCCAACAAAACAACGTAAGCAAGAAAGAAAATCGTTTAAACTGTGAAATGTAACCGAGTTTCAATAATGCTATCAGAAAACAACAACTTAGGAAGAAAAAACAAGTGTCAACAAAAATACGTCGGAATACTCAAAGAGGCTTTTTCTTCCTGCACCCCTACATCGGGTTATATATTCTGAACACTCTTCGAATTAAGCTTTCTGGAAATTTTTAGAATAAGATTTACAGAAAATAAGAGATTTTGGGGCAAAATTTTCAAAATACATAACCCTTTAAAAATTGAAAAGAAAAAAACAAGAAGCTTTTTAAAATGACCATTTTAAAAATTCCAGAAGTTGAGTTTTTTTTTTTTTCCTACATCCTACGATATCTTTACGTAACCCTCAAATTTTTAAAATGACCATTTTATCTTCTGTAAAAGTGATTTGGATTATATATTCTGAAAACTCTGAAAATAAGCTTTTCGAAAATTTTAGAATAATATTTTCAAAATAAAATTTTGGAATAGAATAAACAAGATTTTGAAATGGAATTTCCAAAATACATAAAATTTACTTTGGCATAAGTATTCTGAAATAAGATGTTTAGAATAATTTTTTCGGAATGTATACAATGTTTTATGTTTTATACAATAAGTTGTCCAAGATATATTTGCGTGAAATATATTCTGAAAATAACATTTACAACATGAAATACATTTTAAACAAAGTTTTTCGGAATAAGTTTTTTTTATATATATATTTTTTCTTTTTTTCCCTCTGTAGCCGCAGTGATGGAAGCAATCGTGACAATGAAAATAACAGTAGTGGTAGTGTGGTGTAATAATCAAGAATATATGAGTCTTTTCATCTTATTGTAGGGTATAATTAGTAATTGAGGGTTGCGGAAGTAATAACCTAATTCTGGATCCCTTGGAATGTATAAACGGAAGCCCAATGAGCAAAAACAATCCCATCGAAAATTGAAAAAAAAAATAGATAATTTTAAAAAAATGCGAGATTCGACGTAGAAATATTTTAGGACTGAAAATTTTCATTTACGAACACATGATATATTGCACAAATAATAGCGGAATTTGTATGACTAAAGGGTCACATTTATTAATTATTCTATCAGTTTTTAAAATTTTTTTCATTATTAAATTAGAACAGCCTTCTCACATCTTTTTTATTAGAATATAATGCATAAATTACAAATATTTAACTATCTATAGCCATAAGATCGAAAAAGACATTATTATCTTACCTGCGTCAAATGTTTTTGCCTAAATCTTTAATAAATTTACATAATTTTATTCATTAAACAATGTGATAATAAAGTAAATTTCTATCATAGTCTAGAAAAAATAAAAAATATAAACTTGTTTTAACATGACCAAATATATCAATGCAAAAAGATGCTCTGAATGCTTTAAATATCACGTTTATGGGATGATATTATTAAAATTAATTATTATATATAAGATATTGTCTGATTTTAAAACTGGAAATTTATTTATTTTTTTAAGGATGTATGGAGATCAAAAGAGAAAAAAAATATTTAAATCACATTTGCATTATTAAATGATGTAAAATTATGTGTCATGAAATTATAAATAAAAAATGTATTTATTTCGGTAACCATATGTAAAACTCAAATTTAAATTATTAATTTTTGAAAATTAAAACGTAGTGTTATTTTATTCGGTAATGTAGTAATCAAATCATACATTCATCAAGAAATGAATTCGTTTAATCAGTAAAATAAGAAAACAATGAAAATAGAAATTAACAAGGAGTGGAAATGTATGGAGATGAAAACGCAGTTGAGCTTAGCGTTAATCTGGAAAAGTAGAAGGTGATTACACTAAACTTGCTTTAAAGGGTTGCTGTTGATGAATTGCATGCAAAGCATATTGTTATTGTTGTTGTTCTTGTTGGATTAGTGGATCTGATCTGAGGGAGTGATGATTGTTGATTCGATTGAGGAGAAGGAGTGATTGTTCAGAATTTGATTACAGAGAAGAAGATGAGTTGGGGAAGGGGAATTTTGGAAGGGGTGACGGTGGTGGGGTGTCTGTGTTCACTGGGTTGGGCGGGTTTGTGGTTCTTGAATCGTCGCCTCTACAAAGAGTACGAAGAGAAACGCGTTCTTGTTCAAATCATCTTCAGCGTGGTCTTTGCCTTCTCCTGCAATCTTCTTCAGCTCGTCATCTTCGAAATCATTCCCGTTCTCTCCAAAGAGTGACTAACCTAACCCTAGCATTAAGTTGAATCTTTCTGATATATCAATTCAATACCCATCTCATCGATTTAGGTTTTCTTGCGCTGTGGATTTGCAGGGCAAGAGTGGTGAACTGGAAGATCGATTTGTTCTGCTTGATCCTGTTGCTGGTGTTCCTTCTCCCGTATTACCACTGTTACTTGATGCTAAAAAACAGTGGTGTCAGCACCGAGAGGGCTGCTCTTGTTGCAATTCTATTCTTGTTCGCTTTTCTTTATGTGTTCTGGCGCATGGGTATTCACTTTCCCATGCCATCTCCTGATAAAGGTACTGTTACCATAAACCTCCTTCCAATTTTTGTACAATATGATAGTGATGTATTTGGTTAGTAAAGTATAATCCCCTGATGAAGGGGAACTAGGAAAGAAGCGCTGCTAATGGTTTATTTTGTTAGTAAAGTACAATTACCTCTCGGCTGATTGATTGCTATAATTGACACTGCGGTTACAGAATATGGATGATCCTCGTGTTTGTTTATTTTTGAAGGGTTCTAGTTTGTTCGTTCCTCGTGTTTCAGGTTTCTTTACGATGCCTCAACTGGTGAGTAGAATTGGGGTCATCGGAGTTACTGTCATGGCTGTTCTATCTGGTTTTGGTGCTGTAAACCTTCCATACAGCTATTTGTCACTTTTCATCAGAGAGATCGAGGAGACGGAAATCAAGGCCTTGGAAAGACAGCTGATGCAATCAATCGAGACTTGTGTTTTAAAGAAAAAGAAAATTATTCTTTGCCAGATGGAAATGGAGCAGAAGCAAGGATCTGACGAGGTTACATTTTTATCCTTTTTTCTTTTCAGCGTGTTTTTATTTTTGATGAAATGATGTTTAATGTTAATGGAAGCAAAGGAGAGAAACTTCATATGGGGCGGTTATGAAACCCTAGAGGAAGAAAAAAGAGTACAGCAAGCCAAAGTGGCTTCAATAAGTAAAGCACCAAATGGATGCCATGTACATGACTGTATACTGTAATTAGTATTAGGGTAATGTGGCACCCTGAAAAATATATATATATATTTTCCATTTCCATAATGCATTCTTTATACTTTAGTCAATATGTGATCTTATACCTCTGGACTTGATGTCCTGACAGCTGAGCAATAAAAACACTACTTTGTTCTTTTCAAGACGTTGGCAACAAACTTTATTAGGCTACAATTTAAGCTGGGTGACCATAATTTAGGCAACTTTTTATCACAGTCTCGCGCAAGGCCATGGGTATCAGAGCGTGGGAATGTAGGTGGCTCAACAATGGATTTAGAATAAGCTGTATTATCATCTTAAAATTTTTGCTTACGGCATAATTCAATATCACAAAATATTGTCCAAACTCTATAAGCACTGTTTAGGTATTTTTTCAAATTGATGTGTCATCTTAATCCCTTAAGAGCTGATATCCTGATGGCTGCACAATGACACTTTGGTTGGCCTTTTCAGCAGTCCCTAGTAGCCTTTGGGCAGCAAACTCTTATCGGTCATAATTAAGGTTGGATGAGGGTGATTGTAATTAAGGTAGCTTTCCAACACATTCAGAGTTTGCTGCTACGTGCTGCTAGTTGAAATTGATAGCCATGACCTTAATGTATTTATGATTTACACAATTTATATATTTATAAATTAAGAGAATATTATTTTGTAAAATTCATTTAATTTGAATTAGAAAAGGTGTATTTTCCTTAAAGGGTAAAGTTGTTTTTATTTTGAAATGAATTACATATAAAGGTTAGTTTGTTGAGGCATCATGTTGTTATCATTTGTAATTTGTCATTTTTTTTCGTACCCTGTAATTGCTTCATCTCAACTTGTTTGATGCAGAAGTTAAATGCTAGATCTTTAATTAAACGAATTGTTGGTACGGTTGTTCGAAGTGTCCAAGAAGATCAAAAGGAGCAAGGTCAGTTTTCTTTTACTCTTAAAAAGGCCATTTTTGAAGCTTCCACATTTGAAGTATAAATTCTGGGGGACCAAAGTGTTGAGAATTATATGATCAATAAAGCAAGTTAAAGCTGTTTACCGAAATAAGGTAGAGAGGCTGAAAAGCATCTGTGTTTTTTTTTTTAAATTACACAATGAATTTGAACTTATGCAGTTTTTTTGTGTGCATGGTTGGAGATGAAACATTGAGATTTTGAGGATAATCTCTTACCAACCATTGCAACTTTTTTGAGGAAAGATTTTATAGTTTCTAGGTAGTTCTTTGCCAGTGGCCATTTTATAGGGATCTCTACATTGGATATGTATAGAAATGGCATGCCCTTTTCTTTTTACATCTGTATAGGGTGGTAAAATCTCGTTGGAATTCGGAAGCAAAATTTGCTTTTCTAATTGAAATTCTTATTTTATTGGAATACTTATTTTGAAGTGATTTCCTTGATAGTGGTATCTCCAGTCGATTATCTTATTTTTCTGTGCTTATGCTAGAGATATTTAATTACACATTTTAAACTATTCTTGTCAAATTTGTAGATATTAAAGGCTTGGAGGCAGAAGTTCTGGCCTTAGAAGAGCTTTCAAAGCAATTGTTCTTGGAGATCTATGAGCTTCGTCAAGCAAAGGTTTACCATTTGAGGGATTACCCTTACTTTTTAGAATTGTTTATGTAGTCATATTTAATTTATTGCACTCATCATATCAATTCTCACATTATAAGCCCAGGTGGCATTAGAGTAAATTTCATAGCTCTCTAGTATCAATCCTCACGTTATTATGTTTCAAAACCCAAGTTTGTGTGAGAGCTGGTTAGAGATATAAACGAAGTCATCATGTCTCCTTTTTCAAGAGTGTAGCATTGTTCTTTAGGAAAACCGAAAAGCAGTATGACCAGCTTGTTTTTA